AAACAGACAAGCATAAGATGTATTCTGTGCTTGCCTCGCTTACCATCTAATACCTGAAGAGTTCAAAAATCTACCCACAGCTTCACTTTAAACAGCCGGTCAAACAGCCAAACTGTCAGATTTAAAGTAAAACCTTAATACTAAATAAAGACGCTCCAGCTTTCAACATACATGATTTCTAGTTGAAATGCTGACACTGAATATTCACTTATGGACTACGGCTATAATTTGGCAAGCAGTCAAGGCATGTGTTTATACACTTTTGCCAAACCCTGGATTTGATACCATTCTCCTCCTCTAACTCACAATGTACTCAGGGGGCTGTCAGGCACTTAGGCTTCCATATGTCATGTGCTATTAGATATGACTCAACTCCGCACTGACTGCTACTAATTCTTCCACTATTAGGCTGTTCATAACAAAAGAGACGAATGAAAAATATGTGATCATTTTAATGGAATTCCATGCTTGCAGGAGGAGCGCCCAAAATAATATTTCAGAAGCAGCAAAGGAAGTCTAAAGAAATTTTAAAGAAGATTAAAATACTGTATCTGTGGAAGGAGCAGATACTGCTGCAGCAATATTTGGGTTATTAGTGCCAGATTAGCATATATAATTAACAAGCAATAAAATGCGTCATAAGCCAACCATCAAATCACTGATTTGACATTGAAGATCAAGAGTAAAATTATATGCAACTAGCAGAGTTTCCTAAGCTTCTGTGGAGCAGATTATATTGTCAAGGAATAAGGAAATTATAGAATAACCTGTTACGTAGCACACAGGGGGGGGTGTGGCAGGCTGCATCTAAAAATGTGAACAGTCCAGGCACTTATGAAACATGGAGCAAGAACCAGCTCAGGTGTGGAAGCAGCACTATCCCTTGTCTCCTTTATGGACCAGGAGTACCACAGTTCAAAGACCTCTCACAGGTAGAAAATCTGCAGATTCACGAGTGGAAATAAGGAATATGCATGGTATCTGGAAAACTTGAAACTTTCCATCCTTGAGCCATCTCTAGAACACACACTGTGTCTATTAGGTTGTGCTCTGTGAATTTTTAACGATTTTTGTTGAGATTCATCATTACAAATTTAAGAAATGTAACACATGTGGCAGCCAGCTGTAAAAGAGAATCTGACCTGCTAGCACTACAAGCTGTCAGATATGCACTTTCAATCGGATGCTGTTCCACGTCACTGTTCAGGCCATTACCTGGACACCACCTCTTCAACGGGGGGAAAAAAAAAAAAAAAAAAAAAAAAGACAAGAAGAAACAGTTTTACATGATCCTCCTTCTCCCACATGAAGGTGGTCCTGCAGCATATATAAACAAGTTATTTCAAAACTACACTTGCTACCTAAGTATTCTGTTAAAAGTGTGTATTTTTTAAATTCAAAGTGAAAACAAATTGGAGAAAACTGCAGAAAAACATAAAAGTGTGTTGGAAGTGCAGTGCAAATGTATGTTCCACTGTGCTGCTTTCTCAAGAGAAAAAAAAGAGGAACCAACAACAAATACAATGGATTTTCATTTATCTACATCACCTCAAACGTGCACCTGAAACACAGAGTACGGAATCCTTAGCAGCTTAATTCTTTGCCACGTACAATATTGATACTGTAATGTAGATGTCATCAAATATGAAAAGTCAGGACCTAGTCACTGTCCCTCCATCTTCTGTAGAAGGGGTAAAATCGGTTTAGATGAGATCCTATTTGAGGGAATTCAAATAACTGTCAACTTTTCACACATATGCACAAATTCTCAGCTTCATTAACTTTAACTTTTTCTGTTCAAAAAATGCTTGGATACCAGGTGGACCTTATGTTTTTTATCCCTTAGCATTTGCTCTTATGATTTATCGGTCCCAAAAGCATCAGCCATCCAATCCTACAGATAAAATAACATGCACTTTATGAGTTACCTAAGTAACCCGCAGCCTGAAAAGCATTAAGCCAAACTACCTGCAAATTCTTACAACTAAGGAGCACTGGCTGTTTTGCGGTGAACATCAAATAAGTTACACTAATGATGAACAGCTTGACCCATCTTGCTACAGGAAGACTTCCCTGTAGTGAATTCCCACACTTTTATTTGGCAACCATAATAAGCATTCATGTTCTCTTATGGAAGAAGCAGTCTTGCATACCAACTGTCTGTAGATTACAATCTTGATAGCAGAAAATACCCATCTGTAGTTAAATTCTACTTACCACCCACCTTGTTTTCTTCAGCACCTTAAGGGGAACAAAATTCCCTATTCCAACTATTTTTTCTTTCTTTCAAGACTGTGATTTATTGAGTTTATCTTAATGCCCAAGAATTCAATTTCTGTACTTCATGGCTGCAAGTACAGAACAACACATTAGTTATTCAACTGCTCAACACCCCTAACACTCAAAGCGGAAACAAATAACTTTTGTTATTTCTCCTCTTAGTAGAAACCATGCAGTCAATTGCATTTTACGTTGAGATACAAACTTTGCAAAGAATGCAGCCGGTACTGTTCTAGAGGGCTGGGTTTTGGCTACATAGTAAATCAACCGTACTCCTGCCCGGGGCCCCAGATTCCCTTATTGCTTCCTAAACTGTTCTTCCCCCCATCAAGATAACTCGTTAACATACGCTGTAGAGCGTATGCACATTTAAATAGGCCATTTTTTCCTACCCTAGGGCTCTTGGAAAAAAATAATATCTCAGTAGGTACGGGTATGTTTGGAACAACCATGTAACAAAGCCGCTTGTTAGTCCGTAGAAGTTTTGTGTGACTCGCTAAGTCCTTGGACCAGATTTACTTCATTTATTGTTCCTAGTTCATGATGTGGTTTTGGCACCAGACTGTAGAAAAGCTAACTCCAAAAATCAAAGTTACAGAAAACTAACTTGCTGAAGGCAATGCATGATGAACTAACCTTTTGTAGCAAAGGAGACAAACAAAAATTTAACCCAAAGCATAAACAAAATAGTAGCCAGCAGTGCGGGGGGGGTAAAGTTTAAAGAAGAAACACATGGAAATGACGCAGATTTGTAGAACTAGCAACTCTTTCCTTGGCATTTCAAGATAAAGGTTCAAGAACAAATTCTGCTTCAGGAAAACTAATAATTGCTAGCAAAGGAAAGTTGGAGTCACTTACATCACTTCTTGGAGAAGCCTAAGTGGGAATGAGACCTGGCATCAAGAAATTTCATGCTGCGATCCACTCTGTCACTGAACACATCTTGCCATGGGCAAGTCTCCTTTACCCCTGGGTTTCCTTTCTGACTGGTAAACTGAGAACAGAGACATCTCATCCCACCTATTTTGGGGAAGTTTCTGCAGATGAAAAGTTCCTTATTATTAGAAACACTCCTCAAAGGTTTTGTCAACTACAGTATGTTCTTGCACAGCAAAATTTTGACACAAACCAGTAAGAAAGTCCATCTAATCAACTCTTAGCGTCTCAGCAAGTCATGTGAACACCACGTGCATACAGGGCCCTTTTCTCTGAAAGAAGAGAAACCATATTGCAAAATGGCAGGGAAGCACTAAAAACAGATTTTTCACAAGGCCCTACTTGATGCAAGAAACCCATCAGCAGCACTATTTTTTAACCCTGCTACAGCTTTCTTAGTTGGGGGACCATATTTCCTTAATATATGCACTACACTTCGTTAAAAACTTGGATGGAAAGTCCACATATATACTTGCCCTGATGTTCCTAAAAATTTAGCTGGGGAATAAGTTTAGATCTTGTCCAAAGAAAGCACAATTTGCTGCCCTGTCTCTTATCTATCTTATTATACCTGCTAGCTAGCCACATGATGTACTCAGTCAGTTTGTGTATGAAGACATTTACAGACAATATATCTTCCCATAACGACCACGCGCTGCAACTTTTGAATGTCTGCGATCCTCAGAGGGTGAAGGAATCTAACACAATCTCTCTTTGGACAGCGTGAACAAGCAGACTTCACAACCTCAAAATAAAAAAAAAAAAAAAAAGGATCACCTGACTGTAACTTTGTACAGCAAATAAATGCTTCACAAAGTCCTCACCAAAAAAACTGTATCCTCTCACAATATACACGTTCACAATGGCACAAGAATTAGTTGTGGAGTGGAACACAGACTCACTAAGAAATTAGGAGGGAAAGGCAGAAAATGGTCCTGTATTTAAAGAATGAGGAATTTGGATGGGGTTACTTTGCTGTCACCAGGGGAATGGAAAATGGGGCTTCACTAGCAAAACCGCAGGCTTCAATATACCAGAGAGACGATAAAAACTGCATCAGGAGAGAGAGAGGTGTGTGCCGTGGCAGACGTCAGTGGCCCTAAATTCATCACAGCATGACTGAACTTCTCTGCGAGGCAACGTCTCATGAGATCTGACGTTTGCTAGCCAAAAAAAAACCAAAAAAAAAACCCAAACAGGTTTCCAGCATAGTATTGGCGCATGATCAGCCGAGAAACGTCTCATCTCAAAACCGGTGCTGAAAAGAGCCAGGCAGTGACTGCGGCACAGGCCGCGTTCAGCACCAGTTGCTCATGACAGGTAATTTCCCAACCGCTCGGTGCCCTCCCCTACGCCTGCACACAAACCCCCATCGCAGCCGCCGCAGCCCCTCGGCACTGCAGGGCTCCAGGGGGATTTTGCCCTGCCCGAACACGCTCCTGCGGCACAACACCAGAAATCCCATTCCAGCGCAGAGGCAAAACGCACGTTGCGTTTATCGCGTGCTGCTCGCTGCGCTGCCAGGAATCAGAGAGGCTCGCCAGCTTAACTGGCAGCTTGGGAATTTTTTTTTTTTTCTCAATTTCTTTGGGATGGGGCCACATTTCCTACTAATGCTGTTCAAAACAACCCCCCAAAAAAACCCCAGTATGCAGCCAGTTTAGCATGGTGCTCCTCCTACAAAGCCATGGGCTCAAGGCAGCTAGCTGGGTTGACTTTTTGAGGAAGGCAATGGTGCGCAGGGAGCCACGTGGGGCGCCTAGAGAGGGTCTGCGGGTACTTACGGACACAGAGACAGGCCACCAGCTTGGCTGCCTCGTCGGGCACCGGGCAGGTGGGGAAGATGGGCTTGAGCAGGTAGGTGGCGAAGACCAGAGCCACGATGTACTGGGAGGAGGGCCGGATGATGAGCAGCTCTATCCAGAGCTTGAGGAAGGCAGGCAGGGAACCATACACCTCCAGCATGTAGGCGTAGTCCCCGCCGGACTTGGTGATGGTGGTGCCCAGCTCAGCGTAGCAGAGGGCACCCACGATGGAGAAGGCCCCGCAGACGGCCCACACCACCAGCGACAGCCCCGGCGAGCCGGCCTCCCGCAGCACGCCGGTGGGGGTGACGAAGATGCCGGAGCCGATGATGGTACCCACGATGATGGCCACGCCGTTGAGCAGCGTGATGGAGCGCTGCAGGGTCACCCCCTCGCCCT